GCTATGAAAACGTGAAGATTGAGTAGTAATACTTATCACAGCAACAACGACCACAGAAGAACAAATTTTTGCTGTGATAAAGTTACGTTCTGTGTATACTTGTATCAACTGCTGACATACCAGTGGTCTGAGGTGTTAGACATTGCTGAAATATCTGAAGTGTTAGACATATAGTTCGTGCGTCATATTATTATTATTATTATTATTATTTTATTATTATTATTATTATTATTATTATTATTATTATTTTTATTATTATTATTATTATTATTATTGTTGTTGTTGTTGTTGTTGCTGTTGTTATGATTGAGGGTGAGCCGCAGAAATGATGAGGGGTAAAGAATAGGCGAGTGGTGTGTTGAGGAATCTGTGGTGTGAAAGAACTTCATCCATAGAGGCAAAAAGAGAATGTAGCAGACTATAGAAGTACCACCACTGTTAAGTAGGTGTGAGATATGGGTTTTAAGCGTTGTATAAAGGATGTTTTGAGTGCTAGGTGCTTGGATATCCAACAGGCTTGTGTAAGCGTGTTAGGAGTGAGTGGAGGCAAGTGGTGTTTATGACCTGAAGTGCTGCTGGAGTGTGAACAAGATAACATTTATGAAGGGACTCATTGGAAACTGGTTAGCCTGAGGTGGAAAGTACAGTACCTACAAACTGGAGGGGCGAGGATGGTTCAGGTCAAAGGGTTATCTGAGCTGTGATACCAGCATATTTCTGGCAAGAATGAGTGACAGTAAATGTGTTTCCTTTTATTTGGGTCACCTATCTCGGTTGGAGATGGCCGGTGTGAGAAAAAAAAAATAATGGGAAAGTGTTAAATCCGTGAAGGCCATACAGCACCTGCGGAATGTGAGTTAAACAGATCTGTTTCAGAGAAAGGAAAAAATCAGCCCTCCTTCCCCGGAACAAGTGTGTAGCTGAGTTGCGTGTTATAAGACAAGTTGTGGATGGTAGTGGCCAAGAAGATCAAGGTTGAAGTGCTCTCTGCGTACTCAAGAATTATGTTCATTTACCTCTGACCCTTCAACGGGAAGTACCTTGCTCCTCCCCTTAAGACTTTTAAGACGCCCGGGTTTTTCTACACCATCCCCAAACCCACCATAAACCGTGAGTCTCCGAACAGTGGTGCCAGTGAACTGCCTTGCGACATGTTCTTGGTGTCCGTCTGTCTCTGCCAGTCCCCCAACTCTGCTCCCGATCAGTCTTAAAAGAAGAAGTAGCAGGGTCAAGCCCTGGCTATATTCCAAATATTTCAGACCTTACCTCTTCCCTCACCCCCTTATCCAGGTACTATCCCCACATCACTACCTGATAGACTCATGTGACATGATGCTGAACACAACACATGTGACATGATGCTGAACACAACACATGTGACATGATGCTGAACACAACACATGTGACATGATGCTGAACACAACATACAAAGATGAACATGACATACGAGGCTGAACGTGACATCATGTATTACACAGTCTTCCGGAGCCCATGATCATCCCACCGAAGAACTCTTTGATTAAATATATTAAGGTTGCTAAGTTTAATGTTCGTTTTCTCAAGCTTGACACCTACTTCCTCTCCCCTTGTATTATGATAGAGAAGTCAGATGGGGCAGTGACGATGTGCTCCTGCTTGGCAGGTGAAGAAGCTCGTTTCCACACTTGGACAACGTTATCGATTTAGTTGGTAATGGTTCCTGAATATTGGGAAGGATAACAAAACTATCAGTGACTTAAGGTCGCACGTATACACAGTACAGCCTAGTGAAAGTGAACGCACTGCTTACACACACACATTGTGAATTATCCACAGAATGAATAATAGTAATAATATTAATAATAATCTTTATTTTTACAAGTACATGTACAAGGTATACAAGCTTAGCTGACATCAGTGACATACTACTATACAGAAAGCCCTTTGCTAGGCAGATTATTATTATTATTATTATTATTATTATTATTTATCAAGAGGAAGCGCTAAACCCGTAGGATTATACAACGCCTGGGGGGGGAGGGATGTGGAAGGCATTCGGGCTTAATTCGGGGAACTGGAGCACAGATCCAATTCCCTAAATCGAGAGCCCCTCACCAATATCAAGGAACCTTCCCTGAGGGGTTTGCTAGGCAGAACATTTCGGGCAAATTACGTGATAATCGACCCACACCATTCGACTAACACCCAAGTACCTATTTTACTGATAGGTGAATAAGGACAGCAGGTGTCTTAAGGAAACACGTCCGAATGTTTCCACCCGGACCGGGTGGACCATGCTAGGCTGTTGCCTAGCATAGTCCCTTGAAGGATATCGTTGTTACTCTGAGGTTCCTGGATGATGGAAAACATCGCCAAAAATGTAGGCTACTTTAAGGAGAAATAAACGGTCCCCTTAATATACGCAATTTTTTTTACACGGATCTCGTCGATAACATTTGACTGGAGTTGATCACTAAGAAGGGTAGTGTCAGGGATCAGTGACTTGCACTCTTATCAACACGACTGTCTTGTTCACCATGGGTTGATTTAGGACACTAATTACAGAGGAGTTTAGGAAAAGGATTAAAATATCTCTGTACTCTCTTGATTTTCCTGAGGCAGTGTAGTGTAAGTTAGAGTATAATTGTTGGGCTGTTCCCGCTTATTAAATAAGATCTCTCCTTGCCCAATGCATGAAATATCCATCTGTATTTCACAATCTGCATTTAACAACTTCTCAGACATGGTGTTTCTATCTCTTGAATACCTCGACCTCATTTATCCAATATCTCGTCACTTATTCTCTGTGAAAAGCAGATTTGATCTCTATATTTTCTTACAGTATTTCTCTCCATACCTGTTTCTTTAATCTGTTTTTAAATAATAATAATAATAATAATAATAATAATAATAATAATAATAATAATAATAATAATAATAATAATAATAATAATAATAATAGTAACAACAAAATAATAAAAATAATAACAATAATTAATAATAATAATAATAATAATAATAATAATAATAATACTTACCTCTGTAGGAAGGTCTGAAGTCTGGAAAAAAACATTCAGATAATAATAATTTAGGTTGACACAATGTGCCTTGTATATTATTACATACAGTGAACAAAAACATTTCCCACAACTTGCTGGGTAAATAAGACAGTAAGGAATGAGATTAAGATATACTAATGACTAATGAAGCCGACCACAAAAAGTGGATTTACAGTCGAGTGCTTTAGAAATTGAGGACACGTGATTTAACCCTCCCTCGCCTTTTTTTTTTTTTAAATCTTATACTTGTTATATTATCAGGTGTTAAATTATAGTCAGTATCTGCCAGTGACGATCTTACAATAATTGAGAGAGGCGGCTGATTCTTGAAACATGGACAGCATATATTATGAAAAAAATCACGAACAAGCGATACAAAATGCAAAACAACCATGGGGGAAGTTAAACGATAGCTCTAGGCCTTTCGTTTTGCAATCAACATATCATCAGGAGCTTGCAATGTTGCAGAAAAGATAAGGAGGTCCAATAAAATACGATCACAGGAAGCGCCTTTGCTGTGAAACATATAGGTCAACAGTATTTAGATGAGGATAAAGAGGTTTTCCTTCATTTATGGATTTGGAAAAGACATATGATAGGGTGAATAGGAGAGCAATGTGGCAAATGTTGCAAGTGTATGGAATAAGGGGTGGGTTACTGAAAATAGAGAGTTTTTACGAAGATAGTGAGGCTCAGGTTAGAGTACGTAGGAGAGAGGGAGATTATTTCCCAGTAAAAGTAGGCCTTAGACAAGGATGTGTGATGTCACCATGGTTGTTCAATATATTTATAGATGGGGTTGTAAGAGAAGTGAATGCTCGGGTGTTAGCAAGAGATGAGGCTTAAAAGATAAAGAATCTAACACAAAGTGGGAGTTGTCACAGTTGTTTTTTCTTGAAGACACTGCTTTTGGGAGATTCTGAAGAGAAGTTGCAGGGGTTGATGGACGAGTTTGAAAGGGCGTGTAAAAGAAGAAAATTAAAAGTGAACATAGAAAAGAGCAAGGTGATAAAGATAATAAAATCTAGGTAATGAAAGATTGGATATCAGATTGGAGGTAGTATGGAGGAGGTGCATATATTCAGATATTTGGGAGTGGACTTGTCAGCAGATGGGACTATGCAAGACGAGGTGAATCATAGAAATGACGAGGGGAAAAAGGTGAGTGGTGCAATGAGGAGTCTGTAGAGACAAAGAACGTTATCCATGGAAGCAAAAGGGAATGTTTTATGAGAGTTTAGTAGTACCAATGCTTTTATATGGGTGTGAAGCATGGGTGGTGAATGTTGCAACAAGGAGAAGGCTGGAGGCAGTGGAGATGTTGTGTGGAGTCTGTATATAATGCAGAGAATATCGGTACTTTATCCTCGATTTTTTTCGAATACTGGATTTTACGAATAAAGGCACATCCAAATACAGATATTCGTAAGCTTCTCTCTTTTATGTGCGGGTTATTTGTGTATCGCTCCAGTCACGGTATTGTGCCTTTTTTGTTATTTACAGATATTCTACTGTATCATTTTTATAGTCAGGGAAACTAATGACAAAATAAGCGAGTACAACCAGGTAGATTGTTTGCCGAAGGCTGTACAAACAATGAGACTTCTACGGTTGTTTTGAGCTGAATTAAGGTCCCGGATATAGCGTTTTACATAAACATAACCATAATGAGACTATTTTATTGAGCACCAATAGCTCATCTTGTGAGTGGTAGTTCACTGTGCACCATCAACTTTTCTCGTGTAACATTAAAAGAGTTACAATAGTCACAATGGGTCTTGATTATATAAAGTTAAAGATATAATATATCTGCTGAAGAGGACCCCAGCAGTGGGTCGAAATATACAGACCACTCATATGAGTTTATGTCTCCATGTGGGTTATTATTGAGCACTGACAAGTATTTATTGCTCTTTTCTTATACAGAACTTCTTAGAGTTATAACAAAAGTACCTCACTCACCAATAAACAAGCTCCAGGTGACTCGAACTGTTGTTACACAACCTATAAATAATCCCAAGGTACAAGCAGACGAGCTGTGAGATGAAGTCACAAGTCTTTCACACGAGCACTGAGTTCAAATTGTATTTCACGAAATCTTAAATCCGAGTTGATCATTAGTAAGCACGATCTCGGCCCACTGTTCAGTTAGGACGGTGGTGATCTCAGCAGTGAGCTTAGAGATTAATCTCGTGGGGTCAGTAGTTCCGTGTCAGTGGGAGACAGTGTTCGTGTGAAGGTTCCTGCATGAGTGAAGTGGCTTTGCTCTGTCTTGCACACTTGCCTGACCCACACTGAATACTGCTGCACATGTAACACTCTAACCCCTACCGTACCTGCACTCTCTAACCCACCCACCCACACACATCCAGCACCCACCCACCCACACATCCAGCACCCACCACCCACCCACAAGCATCCAGCACCCACCCACCCACACACATCCAGCACCTACCCACCCACACACATTCAGAGCCCACCCACCCACACACATCCAGCACCCACCCACCACACACATCCAGCATCTACCCACCACACACATCCAACATCTACCCACACACATCCAGCACACCCACCCACACACATCCACATCACACCCACACACATCCAGCACCACCCACCACACACATCCAGCACCCACCCACACACACATCCAGCACACATCCACTACACAACACATCCAGCACCCACCCACCCAACACATCCAGCACACACCCACCAACACACCCAACACCCACTCACCCAACACATCCAGCACTCACCCACACACACATCCAGCACCCACCCACCCACACCAGCACCCACCCACCCACACATCCAGCACCCACCCACACCACACATCCAGCACCCACCCACCCACACATCCAGCACCCATCCACCCACATCCAGCACCCATCCACCCACATCCAGCACCCACCCACACACACATCCAGCACCCACCCACACACACATCCAGCACCCACCACACCCACACATCCAGCACCCACCCACCCACACATCCAGCACCCATCCACCCACATCCAGCACCCATCCACCCACATCCAGCACCCACTCACCACATATCCAGCACCCACCCACACACACATCCAGCACCCACCCACCCACACATCCAGCACCCACCCACACATCCAGCACCCATCCACCCACATCCAGCACCATCCACCCACATCCAGCACCCACCCACACACACATCCAGCACCCACCCACACGCACATCCAGCACCCACCCACCCACACATCCAGCACCCACCCACCCACACACATCCAGCATCTACCCACCCACACACATCCAGCATCTACCCACCCACACACATAAAGCACCTATCCACCCACATCCAGCACACACCCACTCTGCTCAGTTAGTTAGTTTAATATGTTTATTATGCACCCCATACCCATCCAGTGGGCGGTAGTCACCACATACCCATCCTGTGGGCGGTAGTCAAAAGATTACAGAGGTACATAATGTGTCCAGGGACTGGGCCTCAAAGTTTTGATAGCTGAGCAAGTTACAGAGGTAACGAATTCACAATTTACAAAGGTAATGAACTCACAATTTACAAAGGTAATGAACTCCAGGTAGGTCTAGTCACAATCATGACAAGTTAAAAAGGTATTTACAGATTACAGAGGTACACAATGGGTCCAGGGACCGGGCTCCAAAGTTTTGATGGCTGAACTAGGTACAAGGTAATGAACTCACAAGTTACAAAGGTAATGAACTCACAAGTTACAAAGGTAATGAATACTGTAAGAATGGTTACTTACGTTTATACATGGCTACAATCATGAACAAATTTTAGAGTAATGAGCAATTCACACTTCCACACCCGGTCACAACTGTAGTGAGTTATTGGTGCAAATATTGATTGTTAAGTCACACACACACACACACACACACACATATATACAAATTCATACACACACACACACACACACACACACACACACACACACACACATACACAAATTCATACACATACACGCACACACACTCATACACACACAGTAGCAACCGGTGAAGAGGCGGGGCCAGGAGCTAGGACTCGACCCCTGCAACCACAAATAGGTGAGCACAAATAGGTGAGTACACACACAGGGGTCCCACAGGGGTCAGTTCTAGGACCAGTGCTATTTTTGATATATGTGAATGACATGATGGAAGGAATAGACTCTGAAGTGCCCCTGTTCGCAGATGACGTGAAGTTAATGAGAAGAATTAAATCGGACGAGGATGAGGCAGGACTGCAAAGAGACCTGGAGAGGCTGGACATGTGGTCCAGTAACTGGCTTCTCGAATTCAATCCAGCCAAATGCAAAGTCATGAAGATTGGGGAGGGGCAAAGAAGACCGCAGACAGAGTATAGGCTAGGTGGACAAAGACTACAGACCTCACTCAGGGAGAAAGACCTTGGGGTGACCATAACACCGAGCACATCACCGGAGGCACACATCAACCAAATAACCACTGCAGCATACGGGCGCCTGGCAAACCTGAGAATAGCGTTCCGATACCTTAATAAGGAATCGTTCAAGACACTGTACACTGTGTATGTTAGGCCCATACTGGAGTATGCAGCACCAGTCTGGAACCCACACCTGGTCAAGCACGTCAAGAAGTTAGAGAAAGTACAAAGGTTTGCAACAAGGCTAGTCCCAGAGCTCAAGGGAATGTCGTACGAGGAAAGGTTAAGGGAAATCGGACTGACGACACTGGAGGACAGAAGGGTCAGGGGAGACATGATAACGACATCCAAGATACTGCGGGGAATAGACAAGGTGGACAGAGATAGGATGTTCCAGAGAGGGGACATAGGGACAAGAGGTCACAACTGGAAGCTGCTCAGCCAGGAGAAATCTTAAATATCGTGGAGTCCCAGACACTGCATGAGCCCCTAACAATATACGTATATCCATGTATTTACCAAACTGCGGCAGGCCAGGACTCGACCCTACGAACCTCATACCGCTTCAGAGACGCACAATGCACGCATCGCCTTACACTCACTCAGGGTATGATTCGTAGGGTTAGCCCTGCTGCCGCAGTTTGGTAAATGATTTAAAATCACTCTTTCGTGTTTAGATATATATATATTTTATATATATATTTTTATATATATATAATATTTTTATATATATATATATATATATATATATAATATAAAAATAATATATATATATATATATATATGCAGGCAAGACAAGCAATGCAGAACAACTACTGTGGAAAAAATATTGAACTTCCAAGCGCTTTCGTGATTTCTCACATTATCAAGTCTGGAAATAAACAAGTCATCAAGTCTGAAAAAAAAACAATTTACTAGATAAGAGTTCCAAATAGTTAGTTTAATATGTTTATTATGCACCCCATACCCATCCAGTGGGCGGTAGTCAAAAGATTACAGAGGTACATAATGGGTCCAGGGACTGGGCCTCAAATAGATAAGTTAAATAGATAAGTTAAATTTACGTAGTGTTCTATATATGTGCTCGTTACACCTATGTGCCCACAACACCTGTGTGCACAACACCTGTGTGCACAACACCTGTGTGCACAACACCTGTGTTTCCACAACAATTGTGTATCTTAAAGACTACTACAAAAAACAATTCATATATAAAACGTAAATAAAAATTCTTAATGAAGGGCACAGGATCAATAAGTATGAAGAAGATACTAGTTTGCAGGAGAAAATTGTAGAGAGCTTTATGAAGCTCTATATAGAGCGAAAAGTTGTCCCGATCAAAACTTATTGTGCAACCTGAGTCTCTCTGCAGGACTTAGTTGATATTTCCTTCCCTCCACAACTCTCTCTCCTCTGCCACTTACGGCATCCTTCTCTAGTTTCTCTTACTCCCTCCCTCCTTCTCTCTCTCTAGCCCCATCACACTCGCCTTGTCTATCTCTACAAAACATAATGTCAGATACTTCTCTGAGGGTTACACTTAAGTTTAGATTCACAGTGTAAGTGGTTGTGCAACTTTCTTTCTGTGCAGTGCTCTGCTGTTGTTGTTGCAGATATTGCTGTTGATGGTGCTGCTGCAGCACCCTGAAGGCTCGTCCACTTTTTGTGTTGCACTCTCGCTCTTAAATTCACTGTTTTTATTATTGAGCTTGGTACGAAAGTAGGCGGTGTGTGTACTCACCTATTTGTACTCACCTATTTGTGGTTGCAGGGGTCGAGTCCTAGCTCCTGGCCCCGCCTCTTCACCGGTTGCTACTAGACCCTCTCTCTCCCCGCTCCATGAGCTTTATCAAACCTCGTCTTAAAACTGTGTATGGTTCCTGCCTCCACTACGTCATTTTCTAGGCTATTCCACTGCCTTACAACTCTATGACTGAAGAAATACTTCCTACTATCTCTCTGACTCATTTGTGTCTTCAACTTCCAATTGTGGCCTCTTGTTTCTGTGTCCCCTCCCTGGAACATCCTGTCCTTGTCCACCTTGTCTATTCCACGCAGTATTTTTATATGTCGTTATCATGTCTCCCCTGACCCTCCTGTCCTCCAGTGTCGTCAGGCCGATTTCCCTTAATCTTTCTTCATAGGACATTCCCCTTAGCTCTGGAACTAACCTTGTTGCAAACCTTTGTACTTTCTCTAGTTTCTTGATGTGCTTTATCAAGTGCGGGTTCCAAACAGGTGCTGCATACTCCAGTATGGGCCTGACATACACGGTGTACAGTGTCTTGAATTATTCCTTACTAAGGTGTCGGAATGCTGTTCTCAGGTTTGCCAGGCGCCCATATGCTGCAGCAGTTATCTGATTGATGTGTGCTTCCGGAGACATGCTCGGTGTTATACTCACCCCAAGATCTTTCTCCTTGAGTGAGGTTTGCAGTCTTTGGCCACCTAGCCTATACTCTGTCTGTGGTCTTCTGTGCCCTTCCCCCATCTTCATGACTTTGCATTTGGCAGGATTAAATTCGAGAAGCCATTTGCTGGACCAGGTGTCCAGTCTGTCCAGGTCTCTTTGAAGTCCTGCCTGGTCCTCATCAGATTTAATTCTCCTCATTAACTTCACATCATCTGCAAACAGGGACACTTCTGAGTCTAACCCTTCCGTCATGTCGTTCACATATACCAAAAATAGCACTGGTCCTAGGACCGACCCCTGTGGGACCCCGCTCGTCACAGGTGCCCACTGTGATACATCATTACGTACCATGACTCGTTGTTGCCTCCCTGTCAGGTATTCTCTGATCCATTGCAGTGCCCTTCCTGTTATATGCGCCTGATGCTCTAGCTTCTGCACTAATCTCTTGTGAAGAACTGTGTCAAAGGCC